ACACATCTCCTGTCCCACAAAGACATTTTCCAGGCATTGTTTTTCCAACTAAATCCAAGGTGGAACAGCAGCCTAGTTTATTATTTTAGCATAAATACTTTTACTTTATCATGTATATTAATATAATCTGCTTAGATGGTGTCAATATGCACACTCAATAATAACTGGTATCAAATTCCTTAGTCGTATTCTTCACTTCTTATTTTCACTTCTTTCAAGAATTTATACTCCGCACCCTGCCCCCTGTGGCACTTTGATGGCAAAAAAGAAAAAAAAGGGGATCTTAAGGACAGAATCACAAGTCATAAATCATTCACAAGTGACATAACAATGGTATGTGTTTTGCTGGAAAAGGGCTGTCAACAGAAACTGTTAGCACATTCTTTTCTTTCCATGCAATATGCAGACAGCAAGGCCCCGAAACCTACTGGGCTAAGGGGCTGATACTCGGTCAGTGTCCTACTGTAGAAATTTAGATCTGAAAATATTTAGATATGAGCTAAAAGGAAAGTTTTATTTTCCTTTAACGAGCATTCATTAAGTGCTTATACTGTGACAAGCATTGTCCTTGGCACTTTACAAGATTTGGAGATTTCATTCCCTCAAACTCTCCCAACAATCTTATAAGGTAGGTACTAGTAGATCTCCAAGAGGTGCCAACTGAGGCTCAAATAGGTTAGTTTGCACTATGTCACACATTTAATAAAACAGCTGATTAATGAAATAATAAAGAAAAAGGAAAAAAAAATCTCTCCTGAAGCAGTCAAAAATAGAAATACTAAGTCCAGCAAATCCTATATTCACATCACCTATGTATTACTTCTATCAACAGAACATTTGAAATCAAGATAACAAAAAGTCAGCCTAGTTAAATCCACAATGGTGGCTAATTATAGGAACTATTTTAAACTATAGAATTAACCTACTTAAAGCAATAAAATTTCATACTAGAATATCAAAAAGTATTCAAAGGCAGTGACTTCAGCTTTATATATATATATTGTTAGTATTAAAATCATCTGCATTTATTTAAACTTCTAAATTGGACTGTTCACCATTACTCTTTGTAAAGACACATGCGTACGTGCTAAGTCGCTTCAAACGTGTCTGACTCTTTGTGACCCTATGGACTGTAGCCGGCCAGGCTCCTCTGTCCATGGGATTCTCCAGGCAAGAATACTGGAGTGGGTTGCCATGCCCTCCTCCAGGGGATCTTCCCAAGCCAGGATCGAAACCACATCTTTTAAGTCTCCTGCACTGGCAGGTCATTTCTTTACCACTAGCGCCACCTGGGAAGCCTGTAAAGATGTGTATCTTTCAGTAAACTACATTTTTAACAAAAAAGAATTGTTGAAAGTCACTTTAATTAAATACAAATCAAGTTTACTTTGTAGGCTTTATTCTTGAGATCTTAAAATGTAAGCAACAAAGGTTTTCAAAACATGCTCTACTGGTTTCTTTGTTTTTTTCCCTTTGCTTTCCTAAGTTTGTCTGAATACTGGGCGGCCTGAAATAACAGAACAGTAAAATTTCCCTACCTCCATCATTGCCGTTAAAAAGGAGGAGCCTAAGCAAGTGACCTTCAGCAGTGCATTTCTAAAAGGACACCATGTGATGCACTCTCAATGACTTGGTCATCTGCCCTCACACAAGAGTCTGAGAAACCCCCCAGTCCTTGGCAGTTGTGGTAGGCAGAAGTCTACAGATTGCCACTTCCACTCAATAAGAGGTCATTTTCCCTTCCTGGAAAGTTGTATGTGAGCAATTAGGAACTTGGCGTTCCTGAGCCCCCTTGAGATTAAGACCAGGCTTCCGTGAGCAAGAAGAGAACATCAGAGAAGCGTTAAGAGGTACCGCCATGCCATGGCAGCCCCTGGCTGGCAGCTCCTCCGAAAGCTGGTCTGGTAGACCCTGGGGGACTGGTGAGCAGAGGCCTGCGCAATGGAGGGTCTGCGCTCCGTTCTACTGCGGCAGCGCCCGCCACAGCGCCCAGCAGTGCCTCACCTCACTGCAAAGTAAAACTGGCTCCCAGTCTACGTGAAGACAGGCCAGAAGTTTGCCTGCCTACCTCCAGAGTCAAAAGCAAGAAGTGGGAGTCTCAGGGATCCGCCACACTTGGAAACAGCTGGGTAAAACATCTGACCAAGAAGAATCAACAGAGACCAGTGGGAAATGATGAAGATACCACCAAAGATTCATTTGGGCAAAATCAGCTTTCATCATCTACATGTGAGAAATGGCTTAATGGTAAAATATTTCCAGACATGAGCAAGTTAAGTCTGTGGTTACATGAAACTTTATCCTGCACTTGTTAGCTTTCATACACACACATGGGTCAATAAGAAAATCCCCACATTACAAACCTGCCACTCCCAGACAACAACACTCTTAATCTCTGCCATGTGTGGTGATGACACAGATCTCATTCCATGGACAACATGAAACTCAAAAGGATTCAAAAAATATATCATCCCATCAAGAAAGAAGGGGAAAGTTGTAAGACTGAAATGCACACTTGATTCAATACGAGGAAAGTGCACTTTCACTGGAGATGAAGTCCATAAAATAAGCACTATGTTAATAACCTGCTGAGACATACCTACTAAGTAACAAGTGTGAAAAATCAGACTATGGCAGACACTGCTTCAGTGTTCATGGTCTGTCTGAGACTCTGTCATAGTATCTATTCACATGGGTAGCTTATCAGGGAATGATGCAATTATTCAAGAAGATATTTTTTTGATGCCTGTGGTTGGTCCTAGTCTCAGCCTAAACAAGACAGCACTGAGTTAGAGACTGAACATTTTCAGTGTGGGCTGAAGCTTATGTCACAGTAGTACACACCCTGATATTAAGCCTCCCAAAGCATACCCATCATCTTGATTCATGTTTCCTTTTTTAGCTACATTAGTTTGTTAGTGGATAAGAAGCAACACATCTGCCTACACAGCAAAATCACAAAAATCTTAATTGTCCGGGAAAAAAAATCTTTGTCTAAGCCCAAGAATCCCTCCTAACACAGATCAGTAAATGTTATCTTTCTACCTCATGCTTATCTCAGCAACATGATGCTAACTCTGCTAATTATCCCACAGTGTTTTACATGCCTTCTAGGGTGTGTGCTTCCAGAGTTTTAAGAAGCTCTGAAATAACTATTTTAAGAACATGCACTGCTCAGAGATCAGTGTATATAAAAAGCGAAGAAGAGGGGCAGTGGAGCTTGCGAGAAGCGGGAGGGTATTCCCTTTAAAACTGAATTTAAATTCACATGTCCCTGCTCCACCTCTGCCCACGCTTATGTAAAGTTACTCAGTCTTCCTAGACCTCGATTTCCTCACCTACAAAATGGGAGCAATATCCCTCACATGGTTGTTACGAAGTTGAAGCGAGATCGTTTCGGTAAAAGGGCTTTAGTAAATTTAAAATTTCTACATAAACACAAGGCGATACAGCCACAGAGGGAATCCATTTCAGGCACACGGACAGAGCGCTAAGAAGCATTCCTGTTAAATTGATCAGACAAAATTGGCATTGTGCATTCTAATGTCAAATTAAACAATGCATTAGTTCACATTTACTTCAAATCTGATTCTGTCAAGAGTTTAAATAGACTGGCTTTTCTTCCTTTATGGTGTAAGCTCTGACCTAGAAGCTCTGATACCTTCGCAAAAAGCCTTACCCATCTGTCGAGGTTTTAATATACAATCCCCATATGCACAATTTTTTTAAAAACTCACACATAGGGGAATATTTAGAAACTCTTTGGACAATTTGAACAACTTAGTTTTCAATAGTGTAGAATGTACTGGCTACCAGTTCCCATTTAATTTGAAAATGTGCTTGTCATTCTCGTGGTAGCACAGTTTGCATTATAAATTAAATGAAAGAAGAAAGTCAGTCCAAATATATGTAGAGTGTAAAATGTATGTGGCATGATGTTAAGCATAAAATATCATCTTGGCTGAGAAATAAATAACCTAAAGAAAACATCATGGACACAGGAAATAATAAAAGTTCAGTTGTGTCCTGAATATTTATATTCTATATTCTTACCTAAAACTTCATTTGCTAAATGTCCCTACCAATTCTGAGCACCTAGGCTAAAAAATGAAGAAGTCAGATTTGATTTTCTCTAAGCTTTCGCACAGCTTTAATACTCAGAAATCCCTGCAAAGATAAATGGTGTTATCAAGTCAAACTGTGATGGAATTTTTAAAAATCAAAGCTCCGCTGAACTCAGTCCTAAGAAGAGCAAGAGCCACAGAAAGAAGAGATGGGTACATTTAAAGTTGCCAGACATTGTCTAAAAGTACTTTCATAAACACGGTCTCCTTAGGCTAAAAACACTATAAGCGGGTAAGAAATTGAGTACTCGGAGATCAGGGCCATCTCTGAGCTCCCATGGAAGGAAAACAGCAGGCGTGGAACTCACATCTCCACGTTCCCAGCCAGTTCTGTTGTTGCTGTTGTTGTTTAGTCACTCAGTAGGGTCTTTTTGTGACCCCATGGACTGCAGCCTGCCAGGTTCCTCTGTCCATGGGATTGCCCAGGCAAGAATACTGAAGTGAGTTCCCATTTCCTGCTGCAGGGGATCTTCCTAACCCAGAGATCCAACTTGAGTCTCCTGCTTGGCAGGAGGATTCTTTACCGCTGAGCCACTTGGGAAGCCTAGCCAGTTCTCTGACTCTTACCTAGTGATTTTCAAAAAGTATTCCAGGAAGCCCTGAAGTTTTGAGAAGGGGCCTCAGGCTTGTTGACAGGAGGTGGAAGTACATTTCAAAGGATGAACTGATGGCTCTGGCTTCATCTGCCCCCACCTTCCTGCTCCCCAGCAAAATCTCTAAGGACACATTCAAGTATATTCTACATTAGTCTTCTCAAAATATTCATCCTTTCACTTACTCCCATTCTCTGAAATAAATGATATCATCTAAACTATATCTTCCTCTTAAACCTATTGATTTCCTTTCCCCAAATCACACATTTGAAAAAATGGTTACCTCCATTCTTTTCATTCCTACTCACTTATCACCGTTAAGTATCAAGGAGACTCTACCTAAGGGCTGTAAATATTCCAGGTTGCTATGGCAATACACTTGTGTTGCTAACCTATCAGGAAAAATGTTAGAGAGACACATCTCCATGTAGAAGCATCTGTATTCTCCAGCACCATCTCAGACTAATTAATGCAAGCAGACTAGAAGCAACACAGGATTCTCATTCAACGAACAGGATAAGTGAGACAAATAGCAAACTGAAGGAAACAGCATATTTTTTAAAAAAATTCTTTACTTCCCTCACTCCTCTAACCCTCAACTTCATTTACCAGCAAGTAAATGAACAAGCAAACATAAAACACAGACCACATGGAACAGTCTTGACTACCTTCTGACAAATACCTTTGCATCAGAAAATAGCCTCAGAAAGGCAGAGAACTAATTATAAGCAGAGGAAAGCATGAAGGAAATGAATGTCATTTCAATAGTAAACATCCCTGCTTCTTTCCCACCTCTGAACTCCCAGGGAGTACGCCCTCTCTTTAACCTTCATCTTAAGCAAATACAAGGAAATGTAAGCCAAGCCAGGGTCCCGGAAGATTTTAGGATAATATTTATTACTATTTTTCCAAAAGCCTCTGGCACACCTTTTTTCCTTTTCTTTTTTTTTTTTCTTTCTTTTTCTTTTTTTTTTTTTTGCTGGAACTCATTTACTTGATTGGATTTGAGACATGTCAGAAAAATCATAAGCCCACTCCCAACCCACGACAAATCACTCCCTGTCCAGATGTCCTTATACGGCCAGACTACCTATAAATCTGACAGCTCAGTGTATGCATTGCGTACGGCTCTTGGCTCTGAGTCACATTCCCTGGGAGCTTTGATTTCCGCTTTGAGGGCTGGCACAGACTCCCGCTTGCTCTTATAAGAAAATGTCTACGACTGAAAGCTGAAGTGTGCAGGATTTCTTCTTTAAGCACACAAACACTCCAAGTCTGGTCACTTTCCTGTAGTCCTGCCAGATTTTCTGTGTCTGATACCTGATCAAGTAACTTATCTTTTCTTCAGGGGGGAAAAAAAACAACAAAGAACATAGGAGAAGGAATGTAGTACATCCGCAGCTGAACATCTTACAAGCCTTAACCAAACGACCTGTACAAAGGATGCCTGAGTAGACACACGCATACCTTATATAGCTCTGTAAATAGGACTCAGCGGCCATCTCAGTGAATTCCTCATTTTACCAGGGGAAAAAAAAGTGCTCTCTAAAAAGCATTGGCCAGATAAACACTTGCTTACAAGACAAAATTAGTGCATCTTAACCATTCTGCACACAAATTCAAAGAACTTTTTTCTTCCATTTCTGACCTGCTGTCAGTCAAAAGCATTGGGATAAGTCAGAGCTGGAAGAAGTTGTAAGAAGCCACTATTTCCACTTTACCGCCCAGGCACACACAAACATTTGCTGAGTCATTTATAATAGTACAAGAATTCAGATTCCACGGCATGAGTGAAGGACAGAGTGTCAGCCTTTCCCTTTGAATTTCCTGACACCAGATGATCTGTATCACAATATAAACATACTTTTGGGTCTGTGAATGTCTTGGGCGTATTCACTCTTTCTCTCTCCCTCTCTTTCTGTCACTCTCTTCATAATCTTTTGTTTTAAACCTTTCAAAAGAGTTTTGATCATAAAGCCCCAATCTAACCTTACATGCAGAGCATGTTTTTCTATTCTGAGATTCCATGTTCTGTATACTTCAATATGCTGTCTTCTTTTAGCCAATATTAAAACCATCCAATTGGAGCTAACTATGGACTTTTGAGACTTTGAAAGACCATGTGAATTTTACAGTAAAACCAAGTTCTTTTTATAATACGCCTTGATATTTTTTTTAACAGCACAGCAGAATAGGAATATACTTGTTATGAGCTTTTGGAAAAACAGGAAATCAAGAAAGATAAATAAAATAAAGCACTAATTCTCTGAAAACTATAATCTAATTATACTTAAACCCGATGAAATAAAAGTCGTACTATTACCATCACTTTATAAGTAGAAACTTAAGAATATGACTCCTACTTGTGACTTCCCTAAAATTTGTGAATGGCAGTTCCAAGAATACAACCCAGGTCACCCAACTGGAACCCAGTCTTGCAATTTAGCCCCTCCATGAATGAGTCTCCACTCTGCTGGACATGAAGCTGGTGGTGGTGGTGGCTCTTAGGACCTCTAGAGGATTCAAAAATCCCCAACTGGTTTTCCCAGCTCTCTCACCCTGCAAGCCACGAGGGCTCATGGCCTAGGCCGCAGGCCACCTTGGGCGAGGTCCCAGCTTCTCATCCCTACCCTTCCCCATCTACCACACCTTTCCAGCCATTAGTGGTAGATATAATTGGAGGTTTAGGTCTTGAAAGATTTCACTGTGGCTTCCCACATATTTTGGACTTTTAAAATCATCCACGGGGGAAGAAAAAATTGGGGACCAAGTTGCCTTTAATACACATGTGGCTATTAACATAACTTGGAATGTTCCTTCTTTAAATAGGAATTTTTAAGGCCTCTTCTCTTTGAGGAATGCTTGGAAAGAACATTAAATAACAATGATGAAAATTCTTCCTCAGCTTCATAGGCCCCCATTGCTGGCTGGCCATTCACACTGTTGACATGCAACTACACTGTACAACATGTGGATTGCTTAACAAGGTAATTGTGCACAGATGATGTGGTTTGTGCTGAAGTTAGTTATTTTTTTCTCGGCTCTTTTTCAACAGAATAAAAATGAAACTTGAAAAAAATGTGGCCTGTTGAAACAGGCTATTTTCAAATTATAATCTATAATGTTCTGAAAGCTTGCATTTGCATCCTAAACAGATAGGTTAATCTTCAACTTATACACAAAATAATCAAGGGCTAAAATGAATCTGCTCATGGGTAGCACCAGCATCAAACAATGTGACATTACAACAGGAAAAAATGGCATAGCCCTGGAATCATTCTTTCTCCATTAAATGGAAACTGGAGTTATTAACAAATAAGCAACTAAACTATAGATTCTAAAAGGAAGCATGGTTAATTACCTGATTCCTTAGTGAAGCTAGATAGCAATATTAGGAAAGGGACATATGTTTAGATTTTATTGGCTATATTTGACATCTGCACAGGAGCACAGGGAATAAAACCTGTTCCTGCCTTGATCTAATCTCACTCTATTTCAGACTCCTAGGGTAATTAGAAGTAACAATCACTATTTATAGGTGTGTGGAGAGTCACTAAAATATATTATTTACTGACAGTTTACAATCAAATATAACGGTATACAGTGTTCTTGTTATATAATTGGATTTTTTTTTATACTGCCAGACAAACCAAGTCCAATTCACATTCAAAGATTATAGGTTTTAGTATAAGAAAAATCACTCATTTTTCAAAAACCCATGACTGTGTTTAAAACTCCCCAAGTAAACCCCAAGCTTCATGCTGGTCCCCTCCTGCAAGGTTTTCCTGTCTTCCCACCCCTTTTTACATCCCAACACCCGGGGCTTCTACCTACCCAGCACAGAATCAGTTGTCCTGTCATAACAACAGACCGATTTTTCCTGAAGTGTTGATGCCCAATCATCCCTTTTCCCTCTCTATGCCCCCAACACTAAAACTGCTACATATTAAGAGAACACGAAGAAAAGAGTGTGGAAATCTCTCCCATAAAACTGCATCCATCCTCAGACCCCTGACTTTATTCTCTTTCTACTCTGGTCATGGGCACCCACGTTATTTCATATGACAAATGATCAATTTCCTACATCCCCAACATATGGAACTCAGAGATTTGCAGGCATGCCTCTGCTTCTTGGGAATTTCAAGCAGTTAAAAACAATGAACCCCTCTTGTGCCCTCTGAAGAGTTTCAAAGGCAGACAGCCTCTAAAACGAAAAGTCATTACCAAAAAATAAAAAGGAAACCCGTTCGAATTTTTCAGGAATCCCTGCTGTTAGCCTCTTCTCAGCTATCTATCTCCTACAAAGGATTTATGTCAGTGGGTAGAACGGGCACAACTATTAGAAACAGAAATGAGTGGTATTAAAAAAAAAAGTGGTATAAAAATAACGATAAAATCACTGCCTATGTGTTTTTAAATGATATAAATCAGGAGTAGTGCGAAGAGGCAAGGGGGGTAAAATCCTATTTGGTGGCTGGAAATACTGAGCCTTTTTTTTTTTTTTTTGGTGAGCCGGAGTGTGCCAGCTTTTTCAGACGGGAGGAATGCTGAGTGTCAAGGGGTCAGGATCAATCCGGTGTGAGTTGATGAGGCAGGAAGGTGGGGAGGAATGCGAGGAATGTCCCTGTTTGTGTAGGACTCCATTCAGCTCATTGGCGAGCCGGGGCCGCCCGGAGCGTATAAAAGCTTTGGGCCGCCCGCCCCGGCCTCACACAACAACCCTTCCCCGCTGAGAGGAGGCAGCCAGTGCGACTCCCACCGCCGGCGACCCACCTCCTCCAGCCCGACGGCAGCCGCCCCGGCCGACAGCTCCCGAGACCGCAGCCCGGCGCGCCCCGGCCCCCGCCTCCGGCACCCCGCCCCCAGCACCGGGGTCCCGGGCGGGTCGGGACGAGGGGAACCCTCGATGACCTCTTCCCTCACACCCACCTTCCCGCCACCGGAAAATAACGCCGCTCGAATTGGGTCCCTTCCTCCCCTTCGGCTGTTTCCAGCCTGCCCCCTGGAGCCTTGCTCCCAGCTCGCATCTCCGATGCGCTTCCTGTTGGAGGCTCCAGAATGATGCTTGACCCCTGCACCCCCCGCTTTTTCCCTTCCACTCCTTCAGCTAAGGATGGTGCCCCCTGCGTCTTCGGAGGAACTGTGTACCGGAGCGGAGAGTCCTTCCAGAGCAGCTGCAAATACCGGTGCACGTGTCTGGACGGGGCGGTGGGCTGCGTGCCCCTGTGCGGCGTGGACGTCCGCCTGCCCAGCCCCAACTGCCCCTTCCCGCGGAGGGTCAAGCTGCCCGGGAAGTGCTGCGAGGAGTGGGTGTGTGACGAGGCCAAGGAGCACACGGTGGTCGGCCCTGCCCTCGCAGGTGAGCTGAGCCTCCAAGTCAGCCTCGTGGTTCTCCCCCAGGGGCTGAGTCCCGACTTGCCCGAGGGCAGGGGCAAGTGTCTTAGCCTGGCGTCTCACCTTGTGTTCATGTGCCCTGCTCTCATAGCTTACCGGCCGGAAGACACGTTTGGCCCAGACCCAACCATGCTCCGAGCCAACTGCCTGGTCCAGACCACAGAGTGGAGTGCCTGTTCCAAGACCTGCGGAATGGGCATCTCCACCCGCGTTACCAATGACAACGCCTTGTGCAGGCTGGAGAAGCAGAGCCGCCTCTGCATGGTCAGGCCTTGCGAAGCTGACCTGGAGGAGAACATTAAGGTATGCTTTCTGTTTCTGTTGACTTCTGGTCATGGAATAAGAGTGGACTGGCCCAGAGCTCGGTCTCTTATCACCCTTACAGAGGTCTCTTATCTCCAAAAATACCACTGAGCTGTTTTACTGGGATGAGACCTTCCCTAATAGAAACCACCAGTTTTCCACCAGGAAATCCTCCACAGCCCTGTTTCATTCAAGACACCTCCAAAGAGGCCATGTCTATTTTTGGAAAACTGGCAAATGAGACTCAAACTTTCCCTCCTCAAAATATAAACAGAAGTTGGATGCCGGGGAGACTAGAACACACAGAGGTTGCAGAAAGCCACACCCCTTGCAGAGTCATTGATTTTCCTCTCCTCCCTTGTCTTCCTCAGAAAGGCAAAAAATGCATCCGGACCCCCAAAATCTCCAAGCCTATCAAGTTTGAGCTCTCTGGCTGCACCAGCGTGAAGACATACCGCGCCAAGTTCTGCGGAGTGTGCACAGACGGGCGGTGTTGCACCCCGCACAGAACCACCACCCTTCCCGTGGACTTCAAGTGTCCTGATGGGGAGGTCATGAAGAAGAGCATGATGTTCATCAAGACCTGTGCCTGCCATTACAACTGCCCCGGAGACAATGACATCTTTGAGTCACTCTACTACAGGAAGATGTACGGAGACATGGCCTAAAGCCAGAGACAGTGAGACACCTGAACGTTTTAGGCCGGCACTTGAATCGCTTCACATCTCATTTTTGTGTACACATGATTTCAGTGGCACGAGTTATTTAAATCTGTGCTTCTAACTGGGGAAAAGAAAAATTCCCACCAAATTCAAAATACTGTGCCATGTAATATTCAAACGAACAGTCCGTCAACCCCAGACACTGGTTTGAAGAAATTGAGACTTGACCATAGGACTGTATTAGTGCACAGCGCCAGCATGTATGCTAGGAGCAGTGGGAGGAGGCCAGTAGAAAGCCTTGTCATCTTTAGGGGTAGTGTGACTGCTGTTTGGAGTGTCACTGAAAAGGAAAACTTTAGCATGCTCACTGACCTGCCTATAGCTCCAGCGACAACTTGGATGTGCGTTCTCCAGCCATCATGAGGCTGAGTCAAGTTCGTCTTTAAGTCAGAACAGCAGATTCAGCTATGACATTCTGATTTGATGACATTGTTCAGGAATCAGAATTCTATTAGACTGGACAGCTTGTGGCAAGCTAATTTGCCTGTAACAAGCCAGATTTTTTTATTGATACTGTAAATATTGTGTGTGTATATATATATATTTGTACAGTTATCTAAGTTAATTTAAAGTTGTTTGTGCCTTTTTGTTTATGTTTTTAATGCTTTGATATTTCAAGTGTTAGCCTCAATTCTGAACACCATAGGTAGGATGGAAAGCTTGTCTGATAATTCAAAGCATGAAATGGATATTCAAATAGAAATTCTGGGCAGTTGGAGCAACAGTCCATCCAAACAGGTTGTTTGCTGAAGGTGAGGCAGTGATGTCCTTCAAAGTCTGATCTGTAGGTTGGAAACATGGTAGCCTCACTTTTAACTAACAAATGACCTTTATTAAAAACGAGTGGCTCTGTATAGCTGATTGGTTTTTCCACCTGGAAGCATTTGTTTCTACTTTGACTATGACTGTTTTTTGGACAGTTTATTTGTTGAGAGTGTGACCAAAAGTTACATGTTTGCACCTTTCTAGTTGAAAATAAAGTATATATTTTTTCTATAAAGGGCTTGGTTTTTCATTTATTAAATGGAAAGTTTTTGTCTTAAAGCTATGTACTTATAATTTTCTAAATATCTTTTCTCATCTATTCTTATCAATTGGTTGATCCTTTCAATAGGATTTTTACATAAACATTTCACAGTGAATCAGGTGTCACAAATATACAGGCATACACACTGTTGAGCACATAGACATTTTTCATTATCTTCACAATACTTTATAAATACTTCAGTTCTCTTCAGATTATTTGTTTCCACCAATCCCTGTTATTATGCTTGATTCTGTTTATATTTAATATCACCCTGCTGTTGTAGGCATTTAATTTCCAACCCATCATCATAAACTAGCCTACATGTGCCTTGCACATAGAAGATTTTTAACTATTTTTTGAATTTGCATGCTTTACTGTAGATCTATTTCTGAGCTTCAGTATCTTTCTCTTAAATCTGTAAAAATAAGTTATTTTGCATAATTCTGCTTTCAGTTACCATGATAACCAATCACAAATAGATGATGGCATAAGTACAAAAAGAAGGATAAGTCAACCTTCCCTTCATTTGTATTACAGAAATTTGCCTTAAAACCAACTCCCATTTGCCCAAGTTTTCATTATATCAGATCTCAAGATCAATAGTTCATTAAGTAGTTTGACAAAATGAAGTTGTTCAAGAAGCCCTGTATGGAAATGATACTGGATCTCTCCTGGTCTCCACTGAAAAATCAACTAACATAAGTGGTAGACAAAAGGAATACTCCAGATACAACTGGAAGCCCATTTTTTCTACATAAGAATAGCTATGGAATCTAGGGGAAAAAATAGCTGCAGACAGACTAAGCCATCACAAGGTAATTAGCAATGTCGTAGTGCCAGAGTCATTCTAAGAGACAAAAATACATCCGAAAATAAAGGCTAGTTCTACAAACAGAGCCCATGCCACAAACCAAAGGGAAAACTTCCCGTGTTCAAAATGTGAAAAGTATTTCTGGCCAAAACATTGGACTTTTAGAATACACCCACACACGTATATAGCAACACCGCCAGTAGCTGTGCCCCACTTCCCCAAATAAATCCACGTGCAAACACACACACACACACAACACAGAGCACACTGCTTAGTCTACATTTCCTTTCTGTCACTTGACTCCTAGCTGCAAAGGTGAAGAGCCATGGTAAATGAACCTGACCGTTTTAAAAGGAATTTGAGAATTCTGGGAAGACAGAAGTAAGAATGCAAACATAGATTTTAAGATTTTCCAAATTGCCACGTAAAAACAGAAATTAGATTGCGAAATCAAAACACCATGAGACATAAAATTAGTTGGCAAAACATCCTTTGCACCCTAAGATATGAGTTGGGGGAAATCAACCACAAGACTTTTACTATGTCAGAATAAAATGTGAGAAAAAGCAAAGGAATACAACGGTATTCGATGCATCTGAGAAGAGGAGAGCTTCAAAATAGCTAACAGTGAAATACAGATCAATCTGAAGATAACTTGTGAAACTGGTAAGAGTCTTGTTTTGCCCATTCCAACAAAAGTTACAAACCAAGCCTATCTCCCAAGGGAGGACTCCGCATTCTTAGGAGTAAAATCAAAATTAAGTCAGAGACAACAAAGACATTCTGAGAGAAGGTCCAGATAAAAATGAGAAGAAAACAGGTTCAAAAGCTCAAGAAGCAGATGGCCATATTTTTAACACATGAAAACAATAAAAGAGGGAACTCTGTGTAGTTAGAAAAGCTATTTAAACCAAGCTGTCTTCCTAAATAAAGTTCAGGAAAAATAATTTTGTATAAAAAATAGAAAAATAAAGTCATCACAGCCAAATCCATATGAAGATATTATATGAAAAAATAATATTAGGGGATAGAATAGCATTTCTACAGATAAAAGGAGATTGCCAGAAATACATGTCCAGAAAACATGCCAAAACTATAATCTACTATTTCGAGAGAACATTAAGAAAATAACACTAGACATAAATAATTAAAAGGAAATGACTAATGACATTAAATAGCAACATAAATGAGTTAGTAAAACTTGGAAATAATTTCAAGAAGAAATTAGAAATTAAAGAAATGTTAGAAAACTACATGGGACATAAAGATGAACAAACACAACAGATAATTCCTTAAGAAGAGTAGTCGATGAGGAGGAGGAAAATATTTTTAAATAAAAAATTTAAAAGTTTCAGAAGTGATAAATATTATAGATAGGCAAAGAAGGTCCAACATATGGATAGTAGGAATTCCTCATGAAGAAAAAACCCAAAAACTATCAATTAAAAAAAAAACTGAAATAAAAAGTGATTTCAAAGTGATACAGGAAGGTACTAGTAAAATCAACCAACACTGAGACATATTCCAGTAAAATTGATGGAATATAAAGAAAAAGAAAAAATTTTTAGAATATCTAGGCAAAAAGAAGATGAACCTTATAAGTAAAAGAAAAGTAATTCATCATTCTGATAATGACTACAACACTTCATATCATAAAAATTACAGTAACATATTTAAGGTACTGAAGGAAAGAAAATGTGAGCCAAAGAATTTTTATCCTTCAAAACTGATACTCAAGAATAAAGGACACAGACAAATCATTAAAACCATATAAGATCTCAGGACATATTATTCTTATGAACCCTTTCGAAAGAGCCTACTGCACAAGAGGCTCAAAAAACAAAAATGCCTGAGAAATGTTAACATTAAGGACTGGTGGTGGGCATTAAACATCGCTTATCTTTAGAAGTAAGACTAAATAAAGACGAAAGAAGAGAAAGTACAGTATACAGCAGCCCTACACTCTGACAGTGTAGAGTGCAACCATAAAGGTTTGCGGAGAGAATAAAAGGAGCATATGACACTCACCCCCCGACACACACACACACACAAACACACTTAATTACTTTTTTGGTGGTAGGGTCTTCCCCACTAGTGGTAAAGAACCCACCTGCCATAGGAGACGTAGGAGACTCAGGTTCCATCCCTGAGTCAGGAAGATTCTCTAGATGAGGGCACAGCAACCCACTCTAGGGTTCTTGCCTGGATAATCCCATGGACAGAGAAGACTGGCAGGCTACAGTCCACAGCGTCGCACTCAGAATCAACTGAAGCCGCTGAGCACGCACGCATGCACGCTCTCATTGGTTGTAGTAGCGATGGTATTGTTATTCTGAGACTATGGAGTGTATAATGCAGGTTCAAGAAAATTAACTGCTATAGACATTCTAATACTATCCTTAGCGGTGGTGAAATACTGGGATTCTTAGTAAGAAAGTCAGAAAATACAGATTTAATATAAAAGTGGTTAAGTTCCTATGGCTGTTTCATGTTGATGCTTGGTAGAAACCAATGCAATAATGTAAAGCAATTATCCTTCAATTAAATTTTTTTTTTAAAAAGTGGTTAAGTTAGATTCTGTAGTCCTGAATTTGGATTGGAAATATCAGCATAAACTTATGATGCAGTTTATCTTTTAAAACACACACACAAGGCTTCCCTGGTGGCTCAGTGATAAAGGATCTGCCTGCCAATGCAGGAGACATGGGTTCGATCCCTGATCCAGGAAGATCTCACATGCTGCAGAGTAACTAAGCCCACTGTGTACCACAATAATTGAGCCTGTGCTCTGAAGTCCAGGAGCCACAACTATGAGCCTACATGCCACAACTCCTGAAGCCCATGCACCCTAGAGCCCATGTTTCACCAGAGAAACCGCTGCAATCAGAAGTCTGTGCACTGCAACTAGAGAGTATCGCCCTCTCCACAACTAGAGAAAAGCCCGTGCAACAATGAAGACCTGGCACAGTCAAAAATAAATGAATAAGTAAAATCATCTTTGTAAAACACACTCAATTATATATATACACATATATACAATATATACATATATATGCATATATATTTTGCTACATCTGCTCACTGAAAAAACTACAATGACAACTCAAAAACAATGAGCATCCCTAGGCCCAAACTGTACCCTTGTAATGTTACTTTCCACCAAAACAGCCAGAGCTTCTTGGAGAATAGCTGATTCCAGGACTGGAGCAAAAAAATGTGTAAGTTAAAAACAATTATGCAGGGAATACCTCTATATATTAAGTAATAATGAAGTTCACAAGGACGATTAAGATCATTTTGAAAGGATTCAAGAGCCAAACTGAAGAGACTCCTACTAAAGATGAGGCAATTTGAGCTTCTTAGGACAATAAAAATCACAGTGTATTAAGCCTATCACCTATACTTAAATTCATTACCTCATTATGACAATTAAATAAAAAAAAAACCCAATTGGTCACCTGATAATCATAGGGAATCTATTCATTATACACTAAATGTAATATTTCCATGATGACTTCTGTGTCATATCCTTGTTCTCCATAACTAATAGTGCCTCAGAAGAGATTGGTCCAATCTGTACCAACCCCAGACATAATCCATAGATGACTTTTAAAAGAAATTAATCTCTTAATAGTATTCATCACATGATACTCAATTTAAAACAATTTTATATCCTTTTAAAATAATTTTCTGTAATTTTCCAAATTTCCAGAAATGAATATGCAATATTTTATAATCAGAAAAAGTTTAAAAACAAATCTTTTAACTCCTCATTTTAAAAAAGTAGCAAAGGATATGCCAAAGTGTTCAAGTTTTTCATAATTTCAGATTTAAATGAACAGTTCACAGTATATAAATAGATGACTAAATGGCCTATGATAAACCATAATGGAAAAGAATATAAAAAAGAATGTATGTATATGTATAAGTCAATCACTTTGCTGTACAACAGGAATTAATATAATATTGTAATAAACCAAGTATATTTCTATTAAAAAAAAACAGATGACAAAGCCATTCAAGTCACTATTCCTTAATTTTCCAAGTTCCTAGGAGCATGTGCAACACACATAGAGACTCTATGGAATTCAAGTATTCATGTAAATTCAATGTATATTCTTACCTCATTTTCCAACTCCATAAATAAATTCATGGAAGATTT